GAGAGTTGACTCTCCTCACTCTCGACCGTACCCCAGGGCATTTGTAAGCGAATCAGATTTATAAAATGATGATATGGGAAAATAGTGTATTGAAATTATTATTTATTTTGTATACTTTACAAACTCATTGATTTACGTGTTATGCATAGTCTGCATAGAACTAAGTTGAGCATTTACCTACTATTATTGGTTTTAACGCGGTCTTTTACACTTTTGAAGCAACTGATCCCTTTGATAAATTTCCGTAATGTGATAAGAGGACAAAGGTTATCACAACTATGTGAGGAGATATTAGCGCAATACATTCTTCCTATTATGGGACTCCTCAGCCGTGTGAATTCCCGCATCCTGAATCTCGTGATGCGTACTGCCACGGAGGAGTCCCATAATAAAACGAAACAGTCATCCAGTGCTTCCAGGTTTTCCATGGTGGTCTAGCTTCAATTGACTCATGATTTCAACTATGAAAATACTAAATCTCCACAAAACCTCTTCCTTTATCATTCTTGTCTATTCTTACGCCCCATTTCCAGTCTAGTTGACTTTTTATTTTCTATCTATAAATGTTCTTAACAAGTATATTAGGTGTGACCAGATTGTTCGAAATGTAATGTGCGCTAATATCTCATCACATAGTTCTGATAATCTTCGTCTTCTTAATACACTTTATCATGACAATAAAGAATTTGCCCTAATAATTTTAAACATTTACCAGATTTATATAAAGGTGATGTACATCTACCACAGTTTACTATATGATGTAAACTAAAAGACATTCTGTTGTTTTTTTTCCTTATAATTTTGTACAAAAAAGGGAAAAGGGAATGAAATACAAAACACATCTAAATAACTGTCCCCAAATGCCCTGGTACGGCGAGAGTCCGCTGTCACTCTCGAAATACTCTCAAATAGTCGTGCTTATATAGCCTCTGTCACACAAGTCCTACTCATTGCCTTCTCATGGCATTACTGTTGTTTATGAAAATGAGAGGACAAGAAGCGAATGTCCGGCGCTTAACTGGGTTGGTGGACACGTGGGGTCCTCCTAGGGAAGTTGGAAAACTCTCATTCCAAGCCAATGATGAACATGGACTGGCTCTAGTATCCTGAGGGAACAAATGGCGTATTAACCAATTGTTGGTGACCGGCTACCATGGGACTGCATCTCCTCACGATGCTCCACTACCTTGTGGATCACACCTTTAGGTCGAAGGCTTCGACTGTATCCCCCTAAGAAAACCACCTGCTTCGGTTTGGCAGTATCACAGCCTTCACACAAATCAAATGACATTTGTGTAGCGCATATATATCTGGTGCCCTTTTGTACCAATATGTGCTTAAATAAATAAATAACTAAAAATTCATCTCTATTTTTTTAACCACCAACCTAATTGGGTTTTCTTTTCCATCACTCACTTTCGTAAGTTATATATTGTCTGACATATTCATTTACAATTAAATAAAACGGAAAACAAATTCACTTAGTATTGTTTGTTTAAATCTTCCCATTGATGTTTAGGACTGCAAATGATCAGTTTCTAATTGGCATATGTGCATACTGTGCGTGCTGCCTCGATATAGCCTTAATTCACAAGCATTATAAGCAAAGATGGATAATGGCTAACAGTGGAATCCAGTTTGACGCACGGGACTCGTCAGCTGGATTTACCTGCATTTCAGAGTTGATGTTCACTCTAGGACTCGAACCCATTACCTTTCGCTTCAAATGTCATCGCATTACCCACTCAACTACTGAGTCCTGATCGCCACTTGCTTGTGCAATGGAGTGAAGTTTTTAAATTCACTTAGTATTGTTTGTTTGAATCTTCTCATTGATGTTTAGGACTGTAACTGGTCAGTTTAACCTCCTTGAACAAATACAATATCTATTTATAATCCATGTATGTTTTGACATAAGATTGTTTCTACCATCTTTCTTCATTATCTATATACATAGGCCTGTGTAATCATATATATTCCATGTATGGATATAATTGAATACCATTCATCATATCATTATAACAGGTAGACAAAAATATATATGACAGCTTAGTAATAAAAAAAATTTTATTACCTACTTATCTTAGTGAATAAGACAATAAATGATGTTTCTTTCTTTTTTAATGAGGTAAAAAAAAATAGACGTTCCACTTTACACATTACAGTACCATTTTATTATCTCAGTGGTAACTAAACTAGGAATATTGATTAGATATACATAAACTTTCTTATTTTTTTTTTTAAGTATATTTGGATGAAAGCAGTAAAAAGCTGTTTCGTCTATGTGTAGCAATCCATAACCTCACTATGGACTTTCACATGTCAGTCAGTCAGCTACACAACGTATGACCAGGCACATATATGCATCGGTCCAATTTGCCATACCTCACTCATTAGTACAACAAGATGAACACCGAATTCATACAAGTAGTTAATTTAATGGTGGTAATATATAAGAGAAAGATTGTATATAAGGATATATTATAGAAAGAAAGACAGATATGAAGCAATTTTAATCTCAAGGTTTAAGGGAAGATAAAGAGTGTATACACCTGCGCCATTGTGATTGATTCCGATTCATGTCACCTAGAGTCTCCAACCATTGGTTACGATAGTCACACGGACCACAACCAACTAGTCTGCATCTACCAAAATGACTCGTACTAGAAGTTAGTGACTTCAAGCACTGATTCCATGTTTTAGTTTGGCCGCCCCTAACTCTCTTCTAACCATCCTCAATACTACTCAGCGTAGCACGTCGTGATAGTTGGTGTTCAAGCATACGTAACACGTGGCCCAACCATCTCAGTCGATGAAGATTCATGACCTCATCAACTGATTTACCATCATTCCCTAAATACCCTATGTCTAACCTCACTATTACTTACCCGGTGATCCTAACAGATGCGAGCAATATTTCTAAGGCATCTCTGGTCAAATACTAGTAAGTTACGAGTATCATCTACTCTTAATGGCCATGTTTCACAGTCTTCAAGTAGAACAGAGCTAACTGCTTCACAGAATAGTCGTCCCTTAATTGTTAGACGGATATCTCGTCTTCTCCATTTGTGACGTAATTTGGCAAAAGCCAAACGAGCTTTTTGAATCCGTGACGAGATTTCGTCAGATACCAACCCATTAGCACTGATCAGACTTCCTTGTGACTGCTTAGCCTTCAGATCACATAATATTGCGAACTGACTAAAGTTTAAAATGTAAACTATTGGATGCCAACTCAGTGATATGAAGATTAAGCAATCCTATTCAAGTTTGAGAGTTCTTAGTTTCGTTATCGATGGTTCATATCTATAAAAGAACTTATATGTGATTAACCACTTACAAAGAATCCGCATCCAAAGTCAAATAAAGTTATCCTGATTATTATTATTTGATTGATAGTAATAATAATAGGAGAGAGGATGTTGCAAAATATAGAGATGCTTCCTAAAAGGTTACAATCACTCATGAGCACTAAACTATTATCTCTTTTAAATTCACTTGGTATTGTTTACTTAAATCTTACTATTCATGTTTAAGACTGCAACTGATCAGTCTCTTATTGACATATGGGGATCCTGTGAGTATTGCCCCAATATTGCCTTTCTTCACGAGCATTATAAGCAAAGATAGATAGTGGCTACCAGTGGAATCCAAGACGTGCGTTTCGCCTTATTTGAGACTCGTCAGATGGATGTACCTGCATCTCAGAGTTGATGTTCACTCCAGGACTCGAACCCAGTACCTTTCGCTTGAAACGCCATCGCGTTATCCACTCAGCTACTGAATTCTGATAGCCATTTGCTTGTGCAATGGGGTGAAGTTTAAATTCAATTAGTGTTACTTGTTTGAATCTTCCCTGGATTCCACTACTAGCCACTATCCATCTTTGCTTACCATGCTTGTGAATTAAGGCTATATCGAGGCAATACGCACAGTATGCACATATTTCAATAAGAGACTGACCAGTTGCAGTCCTAAACATCAATAGGAAGATTCAAACAAGTAACACTAAGTGAATTATATCGCATTGTCTAATATAGTCGATAATGGATGATAAAATTAGCAAATATGATATAGTCACTTACAACTGATTGGTACCATAACTTTAGTGCAAACTTTATAATTAAAATTATAAGTAGAACCTTTTACAGTGATCACTCAATGATATCATCAAGTCTTTTTCTTATGATCAACCTTCAAGATGAAATTTTTTACATTTCAAAGAGGAGACGACGAATAGATGCTATCAAATACTACTGTATTATGAATAATTTGATTTATGATTAGTGGTTTGGTAATATTGTGCTTACCTTTGATTGGAGAGCTTTCAGATTAAAATTAGAAGCTCGAAGTCGGGCTTTTGACTGTATTAGATTGCAACGTCAGTATGATATTTGGTATAATTCAAAAGTGATTTAAAATATAAACATAGGCTTTAAGTAGCGCACAACACTAGAAGTTGGTTATTATCAGGTTTTTGGGATATTATACATTGACTTTTACACACACATGTAGCGTGAAGTTTACAGTTCAACCTTGTCTGGATTAGCAAATATAGATTGTTCTGAGGGATCCTGGACCAAAACGAAACAACTGTTCATTACTTCTTGTTTCCTCATCCGAAGGTTTATTTTGAACTTTGAGAGGTGATTCTCGACGCCACAGTGAAAAACTGTTACCAATATAATTCAACTATATCAGGAGTGGGATAAATATAACCAATGACAGTGTTTGACTGAACTTAATAGTCCAAGACATCAGATTCCAACTCAATGACCTGCACTTCAGGTGCTCAGCGCAATATCTGTAGGTCCTGGATTCGGTCCCCAGTGAGGAGATAAGTGCACATTGGTAAAAAGTTGTATACTAAAACAAAATACCGGTCTAGTGTCTCTCGGTTCTCAATAGTTTCCTAACTCATTTCATTTTGGCTGCATGGTAACTATACATTTTTATCTCTCTCTCTCTATGTCTAATACATCTTTATACTGTTGTTTTAGAGCATCTGGTGTTGTTTACAGTGGTATTGAATCATCAACTGGACGTCGTGTTGCAATCAAACAAATGAATTTAAAAAAACAACCTAAAAAAGAATTAATTGTTAATGAAATTTATGTTATGAAAGTGAAAAAACATCCAAATGTTGTTAATTATTTAGATAGTTATCTTGTTGGTGATGAATTATGGGTTGTTATGGAATATTTAGATGGTGGTTCATTAACAGAAGTTGTTACGGAAACATTAATGGATGAAGGACAAATTGCAGCTGTATGTAGAGAGGTAAGTGGTATCTATGTCAATTTCTTTTATTTTTTGATTCAATCAGTCGATCATAACATAAAGGTGAATGTCCGGCGATTTAACCAGGTTGATGGACACAGACGGTCCACCTAGGGGAGTTGGAAAATCTTGATTCCAAACCATTAGTGCACATGGGCTCCAGTATCCTGAAGGAACAAGGTCAAAGGCCACCACCTGCTTCGGTTTGAGCACGTGGGCAGTATCCTAGCCCTCACACTGATCGAATGAGATTTGTGTAGCGCATATGTATCTGGTGCTTCCTTGTACCAATATTTATGTCTAAATAAATAAATAAGTCGATCCTAAAACAGGTTGTCTCATAGGATCAGTAAAGCGAAACGAAGTATCAAGTTAGTAGAAGTAGTAGTATTCATGGTAGTAAAAACAAATTTACAATGGTGTTAAAATCTGTTATCTAGGAGTATACAAACAATGAATTCATTTGCACGATTGTAAGTGATTCTAACCTAATATCTCTAACCAGATAGTCTGGTTTTATTGACAGTCAGTTACTTCATGAACTAATACTACATATTAGTGTAGCCATTTCTAGTTTTCTTCCAACTTACTGCCACTCAAGCCAGCATTAATCGTCAGGATAGGGGATGACTAGGCTTAAGTAATATTTGTCTCAACTACCTCGACTAATGAAGATTCACTATTTCATCAACTGATTTGTCATATGCGCCTAGTATCCTATCCCTAACCTCAACATTACTCACTCCGACGCAAAGAATGCTTCACAGACACATATGCTTAGAAACCTACAGTCTACGTATGTTTTCTATTTTCATAGACTATTTTGATCATCTTTAAAGTAATCCAGAGCAGATTACTGTCAAGTATTCACTCCTTTTCATTGTGAGACAAACATCTAGTGTATACCATAAGTGATACAAGTTGACAAAATCTAAGTGGGCTATCTGAATTCGTACCAAGATTTCATCCGACGCAAACCCATCAGTGTTGATAAAAACCCCAGCTAGTTCACATCTACTTGGTCAATTTAAGTGATAGGAGAAATAAATCCCAAATGTGCTTTCATTGTTACTCAATATGTTCAAGCAACTGCATTATATCAGCGTCTTCATCAAATTATTATTTATTTATTTATTTAAACACATAAATATTGGTACAAGAAGCCAACAGATACATACGTGCCACACAAATCTCATTTGATTTGTGTGAGGGTTGTGATACTGCCCAGGTGCCTAAACCGAAGCAGGTGGTTTTCTTAGGGAGCCACACCCGGAGCCTTTGACCTAAAGGTCTAACAAACAAGGCAGTGAAGCATCGTGAGGAGATGCAGTCCCATGACAGTCGGTGATCAATAACTGGCCCATACGCCATTTGTTCCTTCAGAATCATGGAGCCTATGTGGATCACTGGATTGTTATCAGCATTTTCCAATTCCCCTAGGTGGATCCTCCGTGTCCACCAACCGGTTTAAAGCACCGGACATTCTCTTTTCGTCCTCTGAATTTCGTAAACAACAGTAATCTCACGAGAAGGCAGTGAGTAGGACTTGTGTTGCAGAGGCTATATACGCATGGCCATGTGAAAGCATTTGGAGAGGGAGAGCGTACTCTGCACACTCTCTGTCGTACCAGGGCATTTGGGGGCTGTGTTTGATTCTTGATGATGTGAGTGTTCCACTATTGAGAAGTTACCATGTTGTAATAAAACAAGTGACCAGTGCTTCCTTGCTTTCAATAATTATCTAATTATGATCAATCCTTGATGTTAATACTTATAAAATTTACTATTTCATTTATTCTGTATTTCTTGTTCTCTACATGTTTCTTTTTCTCTCTTCAAAATGCCTATACCTTTGTGAATATGTTTGAATTCAATGCAATGATGGTTGTCATGGTGATGATGACGGTGATGGTACACTGGTACTGGTACTGTGGTACATTCAAATTATTTGTTTATATCAATACAGTGTTTACAAGCATTGGAATTTCTACATAAAAATCAAGTGATTCATCGTGATATTAAATCAGATAATATTTTATTAGGATTAGATGGTTCAGTTAAATTAACTGATTTTGGTTTTTGTGCACAACTTAGTCCAGAACAAACAAAACGTTCTACAATGGTTGGTACACCATATTGGATGGCACCAGAAGTAGTAACAAGAAAACAATATGGACCTAAAGTTGATATATGGTCACTTGGTATTATGGCTATTGAAATGATTGATGGTGAACCACCGTATTTAAATGAAAATCCTGTTCGTGTAAGTTATTAATTGTAACCTTAATCGACACCTTAGTGAGTCTAAGGTTACCTGCAACATTTTCAATGTTTTTAATGAATGTATTGCATTGAGTCTTTTCGGCGTATTCCCATCCACCAGCTATCTGTTATGATTATGTTCAATACAGAACAGCCTAACATGCCAGATCAAAAATGCAAATGCATTGAAATTTAGGGATTAAAATGAAATATCTAATGAAAATTATGCTCCATTATCCAGTCAATCAGTCACAACGTAGAACTTCGTACGTACGTACGTACATCAGTTCGACTTGTCATACCACATTAACACAGAGATGTAGTTGTCGATTCGAATCCCATAGTAGTAGAAGTAGTAAGAGTATAAAGAGTAATCCGAAAGATTAGGGTTTCAAGATGTTGTTGAAGGAGTATAATCCAGTGAAATAAATTAGGAAAGAGAAAAAAGATAGGGACATGAAGAATTCAAAAGATTAGAATTTGTGAGAACACAAAAAGTGGATTCATCTTCGCCATTGCAAACGATTTTGAGCCATGTCATTCAAAGTCTCTAACCATCGATTGCTATCATCACGTGAATCCCAACCAGGTAGTCTACACCTACCAACATGGCTCAGTCCACTTGTCAATGGCTTCTTGGTTTGTGCCACATTTTGATCTGGCCTCCCCTTAGCTTTCTTCCAACCTACTCCTAATGCTCCATTATACAATGTATACACTGACCAAGTGAATGAAAATATTCAGAAATCCTTGGTACAAAACACTTGAACATTGGAAACGTGGGAAATAAAATTCCTCAGTGTCGTAAATTGTTTCTTTATTTTTGTCTTTATTATTTACTTATTTGTTTGTGAACACATAAATATTGATACCAAGGGGCATCGAATACATATGGGCCACACAAGTTACTTGATTTGTGCGTGGGATGTGATACTGCCCAGGTGCCCAAACCGAAGCAGGTAGTTTTCTTATTTGGTCACACCCTGAGCCTTCGACTTGAAGGTCTAATCCACAAGGCAATGGAGAAACGTCAGGAGATGCAATCCCATGGTAGCCTGTGACCAACTATAGGTTTGTATGTCATTTGTTCCTTCAAGATCCTCGATCCCATGTGTACCATTAGTTTGTTATGAGAGTTTTCCAACTCCCCTAGATATATTCTCCATATCCACCCGGTTAAAGCGCCAGACATTCAGTTTTCGTTCTCTGAATTTCGTAAACAACAGTAATTCTGTGAGAAGGCAGTGAGGAGGACTTGTGTGGCCGAGTCTGTATATGCATGCCCATATAAGAACATTTCGAGAGAGAGATAGAGAGAGCTGACTCTCCACACCCTCGACTGTACCACGGCATTTTGAGGTTTTGCTTTCGTTTAGTAAACAACTGGCTTATCACATATCAACTATTCAAGCATTTCTATCTAAGAGTTTAATATAATAATGATATATGAAAATGTAAATCAGGTTTGTATACAACCAATTTTTTTCTGGTGTGGATTCATCATTTCAGAAAAAACATATCGAATAAATGTATTCATTCTAGTTGAATTACTTGTAATAATCCTTTCAATTCATCAAAATGAATGGATTATCCATCTCGTCTCAAATTACATCAACAAAATTAGGTCTATAATAATATTGACAAAAAGTCAGTTCAAATTCACTTAGTATTGTTTGATTGAATCTTCTCATTGATGTTTAGGACTGTAATTGATCAGTTCCTTATTGACTATAGATGCACACTGTGCGTATTGTCTCGATATAGCCTTGATTCACAAGTATTATAAACAAAGATGGATAGTGGCTAGTGGCAGTGAAATCCAGTTTACGCACGTTTCGTCCCATTTGAGACTCATCACCTGGATGTACCTGCATCTCAGAGTTGATGTTCACTCTGGGACTCGAACCCAGTATCTTTCGCTTCAAACACCATCACTTTATCCACTCAGGTACTGAGTCCTGATAGCCAATTGGTTGTGAAATGGGGTGAAGTTTAAATTCACTTCCCATTGATGTTTAGGACTACAATTGATCAGTCTATTATTGGTCATATGTACATACTGTGCGTACTGCATATCAGTTCATTCATTTATTGGTTTTTAAATAAAAATTCAAACAAAATACCAGAAGTACCATTGGTAATTTCTGATCACAATTATTGTAATGAAAAAAGAAATACATTGAAATGATAAGCATTAATTAAATTAGAGGATAAATATTATGGATAAGGGACTTGGGATGAATAATAATAATAATAATAATAATAATAATATCGGCTAAGTGCTCCGGCGCGAGACTGGTAGGTCCTGGGATAGAATCTCGCGAGTTCAGGATCGTGGATGCGCACTGCCACTGAGGAGTCCCATAATAGGACGAAACGGCCGTCTAGCAGTGCTTCCAGGTTTTCCATGGTGGACTATCTTCATTTGACTCATGATTTCAACTATGAAAATACTGAAATCTTCACAAAATCCCTTCTGATCAATAATAATAATAATAGCAATAATAGTAGTGTAGTGAACAGAACACTGGTTGGGGACAATCGAATGTATTTAAGCAAAGATTACAGACTATCTCAGTAAATTCTGATAACCAAACAATGAACAGTCAATTTGCAAATTAACAACCAATTGTTTCAATCTTCACTGTTTCTTCTCTAATTTCATTGCTCATGCATTTTCCAAACGATTGCGCTTCATTTCAGTTCTTTCTTCATCGGTCTTCTGCGAAAATACATTCTATATCTGACCAACACCATATACTACTTATATAGATATAAGTAGATCACACCACAGTAGTAGTAATAATAATTGTAATAATATTAATAATAATAACGGTAATAATGACAATGGTAATGGTAGTAGTAGTAATATTAGTAATAGTAATAATAAACTAAATCATTCAGTTGTTGAAATACAGTCATTATATTGATAGTTGGCATTTATATGTGTGCGTGTGTGTGTGTGTGTGCACAAATTAATATTTGTAATTATAATTGAATAGCATTATAAAAGGTTACCGGAACTATGGATTTATATAATGTAGCTATGAAAATCTGATTCATTAAATCTCTATAAAACAATAATGTAGGTTAAATAAATTTTGAATTAGATACCAAAAATCTATCAGTTTTTATTATTTCTTTATGCCTCCAAATGCCCTGGTATGACTGAGAGTGGGAAGAGTTCGCTCTCCCTCTCGAAATACTCTTACATGACCACGCGTTTATAGCCTCTGCCACACAAGTCCTACTCACTGCTTTCTCGTGCCGGGGGTGTTGTTCACGAAATTGAAAGAACGAAAAGCGTGTGTCCGGCGCTTTAAACCAGGTTAGTGGACATGGAAAGTTCACACTTAGGAGAGTTGGAAAACCCGGATTCCAAACCAATGGTGCACATGGGTTCCAGTATCCTGAAGCAACAAATGGCGTATGGGATAACATCTCCTCACGATGCTCTAACGCCTTGAGGATTAGACCTTTAGGTCAAAGGCTCCGGGGTGTGGTTCCCTTTAGAAAACCACCTACTTCATTTTGGGCACCTGGGCAGTATCATCACCCTCACACAATTAAATGAAATGACATTTTTTGTGTGATGCATGTATATCTGGTGCCCCTTTGTACCAATATTATATATATATATATATATATATAAAGTTCTCTTTTGAAACTCATTATGTAACAAATTACTTATGTATGCGTTTTTCTCTTCCTTTCCCCCCCCCCCCCCCCGAAAAAAAAACGAACCCTTGAATGAAATGATATAGGCACTTTATTTAATTGGTACAAATGGTAAACCAGAGATTAAAGAACGTGATAAATTAAGTGCAGAATTTCTAGATTTCTTAGATCGATGCCTTGAAGTTAATGTAGATTTACGTGCATCTGCATTTGAACTACTTAAGGTAAGTATCTTTTTTCTTTTATTTATGTTCTTCTATCTATGTATTAATCATTCATTAGAAGATACGGTTTTTGGAAACATTGTTGATATGTCAATAGCAGAATAATATTGGAGCTATTACTACTACTACTAATAATAATATCAATATCATACCTGTTTAACAAGTTAACAGCTTCTCTGGCTTATTAGCTCAACAAACAATGAGTTGCTGTTTATGAAATGATAATCATGAGTCAATTGAAGCTAGATTACCATGGAAAACCTGGAAGCTCTGGAAGGCCGTTTTGTCCTGTTGTGGGACTCCTCAACAGTGTGCATCCACGATCCCACCTCACGAGACTCCAACCCAGGACCTATCAGTCTCGCGTGCGAGCACTTAACTGTTAGACCACTGGGTCGACATCCAACGGTGTTAATGTCTAACGTCAACCAATCCACGAAGTTTGAGCAAACCGTTCACCAATTGTCTTCAGTGAGTTGTTATCTCACATCGGTTAAGTGCTCTGGCGCGAGACTGGTAGGTCCTAGGTTCGAATCTCGCGAGTGCGGAATCGTGGATGCACGCTGCTGAGGAGACCAATAATAGGACGGAACGGCCGTCCAGTGCTTCCAGGTTTTCTATGGTGATCTAGCTTCAATTGACTCATGATTTCAACTATGAAATATACTGAAATCTCCACAAAACCCCTTCTGAAATGATAATCATTGGATTCGAGTCTTGCTATGATTTCGAACACTGGAATTCAACAGGAAAATCTGTTTGAATAGTCATAAATAGGATAAAATGTACATCCTGGATTTTACTACTAGTCATAATCCATCTTTATTATCAATGTTTCTGATATCAGTTCATTAAGTTGTAAAAAAAAGGTGAATCACTATGCCAAATTACTGTCTGTTTTTACGTATTCTACCGTGACTTAACATGTCAGTGATGATTCTCAACATGATTATTCCTGATGAATGATGAGTACAATGTCTCAGACAATCCAGAAACAGAAGGAATCCAATAATTAGGATGTCACAGTTTATAACATTGATATAATTAATCTCGGTCGGTAATTCATGCACAACGTAGAACTTGGCACATATATGCATCAGTTCAAGTTGCTACACTATATCGATACATCAAAATACTGGAATAGTATAAGTAGTATGAGTACTAGTGGTAGTAATAAAGATTAGGCATAGAAGATATGATTTTAAAAAGGTATAGATTGATGGAATAAAAAATACCGGCGAAACTATAATTTATGGACGAGCCGATCAGAAGTGTTTAAGGGATTTCAAGGTCACAGTGCCTATTTCACTACCTGGTGCTCATGTACGATCTGTTCACAGTGAATTTTAGAGGAGACTTGACAATTAAGCTGTTACAACATACAACAAATGAAACTACTAAGAAGTTGCTGTATTTGTAATTACAAGTACTAAATGAATTGTAGACCTTGTGCAGACTGTCGTGATGTTGTCCTTCGATATAATATATGTTGAAGGAAGACGTTTGTTAGAATAGGAACTTTTTTCTCTCGATCCAGATTGAGACTAAGGCAAATTATAATAATTGCCGCGAACTGTATAATAAAAGCACCAGTAACATTGGCTGCAATATTGGCAGAAGTTACTGAAGCTTCGGTTGTTCAGAGGTATGAGTGTTGTATGGATATATGCGTAGTAAAAATGATAAACTTACACAACCAGAGTACATACAAACATAATTGAAGCTATGTGATCGAGGCTGAGAGAGTTTTTATGACCTTATCATGGCTCCAGAGACCAACTATTATGGAGCCATATGAATAAGTTCCTTTATCTTCCCTTATCTTACTCAATACTAACTGTTTCCTGATTGTTTAATATTTCTCAAGCTCACTTAAGATTCGTTCAAAGATCGTCCATAAATTATAGTCTCGCTAAAATACTTTTTCAGATAATTCAGAAACGGTTTTGAGCCATGTTAAACAAGCCATCTAACCACTGGTTTTATGATGATCACACAGACTTTTAAACAAATAGTCTACATATCAATTCAATAATGAATAGCTTCTTGATTTGATCATATGTCCTGGTTTGGTCTTTGTTAACTTTCTCCATATTTGTAATATCTCCATATTTATTCTCCATATTTATTTTCTATCTATTGACTTTGTTATAACGTACGGATGTGTACATGTTTGTGCCCTATTTGATATATGAACGTCCAATTAGAGAAGAGTGAATTTATTGATCACCCTATGATACACAAAATCGTATAATTAGTCTTGAGTACTACTCGATCCCGTTTTTTCTGCCTAACCCAACTAGTTAAGTCCAGAACATCAATCTCAGCTTCTGCAATATAAATCATTAATCTTAACCATACTGGGTTTATATACCACCCAAACAGATCACATTGTACCATAAAATGGAAAATAACATTTGTAAAAGATTTAGCCAAATATGACTGAATAGGAGAGAGGACAGTAATCAAGAGACTAGGGATAACTCAAATATGGTAAATCATATAATAATAATAATAATCTATGGGTTAAAATAAAGCTTTCAGTAATAGGGATACGTATATGAATAATTTAGTTACTTAATAACTATAGATTAAGAAATTATTTATTATTTATTTATTTATTTAAACACATATATATTGGTACAAAAGGGCACCAGGTACATATGCGCCACACAAAATAATGAAAGTAGGAAGAGAAGGGATGAAAAGATAAGGCGGACTAAAATGTACAACCAGAAGACTCTTTCAGTTAGGAAAGTTAGAACCATTCTTTATGTAGAAAGTAAAAGAAGGTTGCAGCAGGATCGCCACTGGTTTCTATTCTGAGCCATATCTGATAACGTCTCTAGCCACTGTGTTGCATCATCTCTCGGACCCCAACCAAGGAGTCGTGAAGGACCAACAGAAGCTAGCCCTTTGCAGCTTTCTTTCATGCCACGACACCATGTCATACACTGACCTCCTCTCCGCTTTTTCCAACCAGTCCCAAAGTCGGCAAATAATGCACGACGTGGAAGTCTCTGGGACGACATTCGTAAAACATGTCCAAGCCACCGAAGTCGGTGTTTCAAGATGGTGACACCAATTGAATTATCGTCTCGGCGCCCAAACACACGATGCCGAACCTCTGCATTACTAACATGGTGTTGCCACTGGATGTCAGCAATCCTTCGGAGACAACGATGATCGAACACAGAGAGACGTCTAACATCCTCAACTCGGAAAGGCCAGGTTTCACAAGCATAGAGCAAAACTGCTCTCACCGACGCGTTGTAAATCCGACTTTTTACAGCCAGACTAACATCTTGAAGGCGCCAAAGATGGCCCAGATTGGCATAAGCCAATATGTATATGATATTGATCCATAGATAATTCTCAAAAAAGGTACCATTCATAATTCATCAAGGGATATAACAAACTTATTCAATAATAGTATGATAATTTAAATTAATTTATTCATCCAATCATGTTGTTTAAGATCCATATTGTTCAATCATTCAATCATAGATCATTTAAGGTAATAGTGAATTTTTTTTTATTAATTAATTGATATATTGTGTATTATTATCCTTAAATGGATCATTCATGTTATATATACTAGAACTGAATATTTAAATAAGGAATTCATTCAATCCTCTGTGTTGTTAATTAGTTTTCATCATGAATCGAATATTCACCTTAAACTAATAAACAAATAAGCATCAAGATGATATATATACTTTAATGCCCTGGTACGGTTGAGAGTGGGGAAAGTCCGCTCTCCTTCTTCAAATGCTCTCACATGGCCAAGCGTATACAGCCTCAGCCAGGGAGGTTCTACTCACTGCTTTCTCATAGCATTACTGTTGTTTACGAAAGTGAGAGGATGAAAACCGAATGTCCGGTGCTTTAACCGGGTTGGTGGACACGGAGAGTCCACCTAGAGGAGTTGGAAAACCCTAATCCCAAACCAATGGTACATATGGGCTCCACTATCCTGAATCAATCATTGGTCACCGACCATCATGGGACTGCATCTCCTTACGATGCTCCACTGCCTTGTGGATCAGACCTTTAGATTAAAGGTTCCAGGTGTGGTCCCCTAATAAAACCACCTGCTTCAGTTTGGGTACCTAAGCAGTATCACAGCCTTCACACAAATCAAATGAGATTTTTGTGGTGCATATATATCTGGTGCTCCTTTGTACCAATATTTATCTGTTTAAATAAGTAAATACGATATATAATGACCACTTCCTTGTTATTGATCAACTTGTTATATCTGGTTTGATATATTACTATCTCGTATCAAGCTTCATCGTTGTATATGAGTTATTTATCAAGTACTCAGTGGTATGAATTTAAAAAAAATAATAAAAAGAAGCTGTATGCCAATTTGTTACGATTTTATGTCCGGCTTTTTATCATGTGAAGTATCCACCAATCGAAATACGAATTATCCAATCTTAATACTGTGCCAAATCAATAACGTTCAACCAGTATTAGCAGTCTAGCGTCTTTATTGATCCCATGTCCGCCTAGCCTTTCCAATTGAATCCAGAACACCAATTGCATCTCCCACCATAGGAATTATTTATTTCAAACATACTCGGTTTATATACCAGACAGACAGACCCCATTACACCATAAAATAGGAAATAATATTTGTACAAGATCAAGTCAAATGTGGCTGTGAACGTGGGATACAATAATCAATAAACTGAATATAATTTGGGAATAGTAAATCGTATAATAATAATCCATAGATCAAAATGAAGCTTATAATAAGATGAATATAGATATACACAATCTAATTACTCAATAGTTAGACAATAAGAATATATATAGAATAGTCATCCATTAATAGGTCCCGGAAGTTACCCGTACTCATGTCTTCGCTAGGATCTAACACTCAGATTCATCTAGTTCGTATGCTTGCTTGCTTGCGTCTGTTACTCTTAATGGAGCATAAGCCGCCGATCTAGTTCATATTGAATCTACTAATTATAAAGTTCTAAATACTTTATATAATCATCTATAATCAAAACGTTTCATCAATACGTTCATCTATGGGAATAATGCCTTACTTACTTATGTCTATTACCCCTCGTGGAGGAGCATAGGCCGCCCACCAGTATTCTCCATCCAAATCTGTCCTGAGCCTTTCTTTCCAGTTACTATTCAGCCTTTTCAGATCGGCTTCTATTTCGCGACGTAATGTATTCTTTGGCCTCCCTCGTTTCTGCTTCTCTTCTGAATTCTAAGTTAGGTCTTGCCTCGTGATGCAGTTTGGTAATTTCCTTAATGTATGTCCTATTCACTTCCAACGTCTCTTCTTAATAATGCCTGTTAAAAATACATTCGATCATTATTCGATTAAGCATGTGAAAAGTCGTTAGACGAATATTTGTTTCTAAGTATACAAATCTAAATGTTCACATATTACATAACACAAGAGTTGAGTGTAATGCAACTAGTCTTCATATGGACTTATACTATGCTTTGTATATCTGTTAATTAGTTCACCTACTCATTCCATCTATTGAGAAGATAAAAGAAATTAGACAGTTTATTCTCAATTCAATCGACATGGTGTCCATAAGTGTTAATTATTTATGAAATGACATTTTAGTGCCTGGTTTAACAGTCTCATTTTCTCAATGAATAATGATGTAACCTAATTACCACGACGTGCTATGCTGAATACTATTGGGGATGGTTAGAAGAAAGTTAGGGGTGGCCAAACCAAAACGTGGCATCAGTCCACAAAGTCACTAACTTCTACTCTGATCCATGTTGGTAGATGCAGACTAATTAGTTGTGGTCCACGTGACTATCGTAACCAATGGTTGGAGACTCTAGGTGACATGACTCAGAATTGATCATAATGGTGTAGGTTTATACACTATCTGTCTTTCTTCCTTATATACAATCTTTCTATTATATATTACCACGACAAAATCAACTACTTGTATGAATTTGGTGTTCATCTTGTTGTGCTAATGAGTGAGGTATGGCAACTTGGACCGATGCATATATGTGTCTGGTTCTACGTTGTAGCTAACTGACTAGACCTAATTATCATATTAGTTTGTATTATTAGACCATATCTGTAAATGTGCTATGTCTATTTGATAGGATCTTTAAATTATTTACTCCAAATCAAGTAATACTAATACCTTAATTGCGCATCCAAATATTGATTAGTTCATACAAATTCATTCGTCTCAGTCAGTCAGTTACAACGTAGAACTTTGTACGTACGTACATCAGTTCGAGTTGCCATACCACATTAGCACAGAGATGCAGTGAAACAGTCAACATGCTCAACTACTTCACTCCCTATCATTAGTTCAGTTGTCGATGCAACCTAATCCTGAAATAACATTTTGCACTTCGAGGGAGAGAATCGCATCCCGAAAATGCCTGCATAGTTGCTTATAGTGGTCAGAAGACTCTGCATGTTGCCAGCGTTTTCACCAAATAAAACTATGTCGTCGGCGTATTCTAAGTCAACAAGTGAGCCTCCCGGTAAAAGTTCAACTCCTGGAGGTTTAGCTGATGAAAGTGTTATCTCTAAAAGCATGTCAACGACAAAGTTAAACAAGAATGGGGAGAGTAGACATCCCTGACGAATACCACTTGACGTAACCAATTCTGAATGACAGTTCGACATAGGCTCTAATTCGACCAGTTGTGTTCGAGTAGAGAGACTTTATGAAGTTAATGTACTTCTTTGGTACTCCTTTCAGTGACAAACACTACCATAGAACCTCACGATCAACGGAGAATTCATCTATATTATCAATTTACCCTAATTATAAAACATAAAAGAAAATTAATCAATATAATTTTTTTTTCTATAATTAGAACTTGAAAGCACAAATATATCATATGACTACAATAAATCTATAAACTGTGTATAAAACTAGATCATTTATATTATGTAAGCTAAGTAATAGTGTTATTATGGTGTGCTTAAGTGCCCTATTTGATATATAAATGTGCTGATTCCCACCAATTATAGAAAAGTGAATGTATCGATCAGAGCAAGGCATACACAAAAAGCCGTATAAAACAGTCTTGAGTATTTATCAGTTCTGATTTCTGCTTAACTCAGCCAGTTAAGTTTAAAACACCAATAACAGTCTCTGCAATATACATCGTGGGTTTATATACTAAATAAACTGACCAAATCATATCATAAAATAGGAAAATACACATTTGTACAAGATTTAGTCAAATGTAGCTGTGAATGTGGGAAGCAGTAATTAATAGACTGGGTATAACTCAAGAATGATAGGTCAAAATAAAGCTTATAATAAGATGGACACGAATATGAATAGTTAAGTTATTTAATAATTCTACAATAGGAGATATAAGTATCATATTGGTCCATAATATCAAACGGAACTACTATGATGGATTAAACTACCAAATCGTCCATGGAAGACAACTCACCGACTCATTCGACGTAAAGACCGGTGTTAGGCGAGGTTGCTTACTCTCTTCTTTTCTCTTTCTCCTGGTGATCGACTGGATAATGAAGAAGTCAACATCTGGAGGGAAGCACAGGATACAGTGGACAGGCAGGATGCAGCTTGATGATTTAGACTTCGCAGATTATCTGGCTCTTCTATCACAAATTCAGGAGAAAATGACCAGTGTAGCAGCAGTAGGTCTCAATATAAACAAAGAGAAAAGCAAGACTCTCCGATACAATACAACATGCACCAATCAAATTACACTTGACGGAGAAACTTCGGAGGATGTGGAAACCTCTACAAATAAATTTAAATCTCCAAGTTCCATGATAAGCAATAATCTAGTACCTGTATACATTACTATTAAGATGGAATTCAATTAACACTATTGTATGGTGCTAATTATCTTATGAGAGTTGATATCGATGTAGTTTGTTTGTTTGCTTGTTTACTTGTCCTTCCTGCTTCGTGATAATTTGATTTTCGAATAAAGATTTCTCCTCTATTGTTATTGTACTGTAATCATCCCATAGACAGTCAATGTATTTTATTTTTTTTTATTTAAACACGTAAACTTTGGTATACGGGGACACACAAATCATTCGATTTATGGAGTGCTGGAATAGTGCCTGGGTGCCCAAATCGAAGCAGGTAGTTTTCTTAGGGGCTACACGCGGAGTCTTTGACCTAGAGGTCTAATCCACAAGGCAGTGGGGCGACATCAGGAGATGCAATCCCATGGTAGCCTGTGATTAACGATAGGTTCATATACTATTTGTTCCTCCAGGATCTTGGATACTATGTTCGTCATTGGTTTGTTATGAGGGTTTTCAAACTCCCGTAGATGGATCATCCATATCCACCAACTGAGTTAAAGAACCGAGCATTCTCTTTTCGCCCTCTGAATTTCGTAAACAACAGTAATGACACAAGATGGCAGTGTGTAGGACTTGTTTGGCAGAGGCTATATACGCGTGGCTATATGAGAGCATTTCGAGAGGAAGAGCTAACTCTTCCCACCCTCGACCGTACCAGGCCATTTGGGGGTTTCTATAAAAATTTCAGTCTATTTCAATATGACTTTAAAATTTTATGTACTTTCTTTTCTCTAAGAAAACTTTTTACTTCTATTTTAGCATCCTTTTATTGTACGACGTTCGAAACCGTTGTCATCTTTAACACCATTGATTTTAGTCGCTCGGGATCAAGCTAGAAATCAAACACAATAATTCAATAAAGAATAGAAGAGTATCATGAATGTAAAATACAAGAATTTCAACTACTCCTGATGATTATTCATTAATCTATCCCACTATCAATATCCAAATCATCTTCTGTGTATTAATTCTTCCATTCATCTATCCTTCTAATGACTACTACTACATACACACACATACATCTATCTCCCAACTCCTTAACCCGCCACCTCCTCAATCATTACACTGTTAATCATTCATCCAATCAATTAAACATAATTTGTTTCCGTTTGGGGGGAGGAGGTAACGAATCATATTTTACAGATAGATGATTGCTTTTTTTTATACTTTAAATTGAGTATTGAACAATCAATATAAACAACCACCACCACCATAGCAACAACAACAGAAAATGTAAAAATTTTCATGTTTATCCCCCTCATATTATGTTCTATTGTAAAGTATACCTTTGTATAATCATAATTAATTAATTATATGAAATAAATAATGAGACAATTTACATTATCCATTGAAATAGGGAAACCCTTTCGGAATGATGATGATGATGGTGGGATATACTCCCCTTATAAACACACACACACATACATGCATAGAAACAGGGAATATAAATGAATCATTATCATTTTAAATATATAACAATCCTTTACAGATTCTCTTCTCACTTTCTTTTTTTTTTTAGATCCCATTGAATACATGTCTTCCTGAACATGTTCAGAAGTACCTATTTGTGTATGTGTGTATGTGTGTGCTCATAAATTGGTGTACAATAGAATTAATTCCTGTCGTTGTTGTTGTTGCTGGCTGTTTTCTTTTTCATTTTTGTGGTTTTATTCTCTTCTTTTAAAAATAAAAAAAAAACTTATTGAATTGCTCATACCAAAAACAAAAAAATTTTTTTTGTTTTTAATATTCTGTTACTATGCTGTATGTACACATCGAAACTATATACATAATTTATATATATAATTATGCAATAATCTAATATTTGACAAAATTCATACCCTTTTAACATTCAATTTTGTTTTTATGATCAATTGACATAGTAACAAAATGTCTTCTTTTCTCTTGTGTATGGGGTGTGTGTACACTCTGAACTACTTATAGAAACATCGATACATGTGTGTATATATATATATACATGCACATTTGCACACCACAATATCCATTCTTTGTAAAACTCCATTATTTTTTCTTTGGTTTTTCTTGGGGGGGGGTATTTTCTCTTTGGAGATTGGATCTATACAATTACTCATTACACTATATATATTACTCTCATTGATGTGTATTCACGGTATAATATAATGCAAATCATCACGATGGTGATGACACTTATTGTCAAGAGGGAAACTACTTTTACCATGGTTAAAGTAATTCAATCATTGTTTTTCATAATGACATAATATATTCCTATAAATAGTAATCGCTACTTTTATCCCCATCGTTTATTTAATTGTCTATTTTAGAGATAGAGAGCGCGAGCCAGAGAGAGGTATGCGTAATGTACACATGTGTGTGTGTGTGTGATTTTTGGTTTTTTCTCAATTCCTGTGATGTATGTGTGTTGGGGGAGGTGTATGTGTTTGTGTGTGTGGGTGTATGTGAAAAAGTAGCAAAAGAATTCTATACTATCTTCATAATTTCGTTTTGTTTAAAAAAAATAATCTGTTTGTTTGTTTTTGTTTCCTTCTTTTTTGGTCTTTTTTTTGTGTTGACCTTGGAGACTAATTGATTTTTTTTTTAAATTTTTATCTAAATATATAAGTAAACAAAAAGAAAACAATATTGATATAATCATTACTCATGATTGTTACTATGTGATGTATATTCATTACTTGAGAACTAGGGATAGATAACTTTTGTTTTTTCCCCCAATCAATTCTTAAAATGATAATCCACTCAACAATGTTTATAATGATAATAATAATAATAATACGTGGAACTTCGACTGATTATGAATGTCTTCTTGATTTTGAACTATCATTGTGAGATAGTTGAATCGATGAGTCAATTGAAGTTTAGACCATTATGGGAAACACTGGATAACCATTTCGTCTTAATATGGGACTACTCAGAAGTGCGTGTTCACGATCTTATTGCGTAGGATATTGAACCCAGGACCTATAGATCTCGTGCGCGAACACTTAACTTTTAGACCATTTAGCTAGTCGGAATCCAACGGTTTTAATGTCTAACTTCAATCACTTCACGAAATAATTGAAATTACATGTATAGTTATGGAATTTTTTGACTTAACTCACTTACCAAGTATCAATTTATATACTTCATTTCGAGCTATATTCTAAGTGTGTATAGGTGTGATACTATCCAGGTGATTAAATCAAACTAAGTGCAGTAGGCTTAGAATCTGTCATTTAATGGTTGAATGTCGAACGCTTAACCACTGATCCACCGCTGCATATTGAATTGGCAGGTTTTCAAATAATTTATCTTGTATGTGCATAAAATCTGATACAAATGGGCACCAAAAGTAATGAACACCATACAAAATAAATAGAGGATGGGAAGGTGGTACGGTCCATAAATGAGTAGATTGGAATACGGTGTAATAAGGTATACAGTTCAATTAGATTAACAATGAACAAAGAATTCGTTCATTAAATGGAGTTCCTGTCACTTTTATAACGAATGTAAAAGAAAACAACAACAGGATCATCATGGGATTTTGTTTCAAGTCATATCTGATAACTTCTTCATGGAGTCATGATAAACTGACAGATGTCAATCCTATACAACATTCTTTCATATCACAAACCGGCTATCAATCCTCTTTTTCACCCAGTCTCAGCGTTGCCAAATAATACACAACATTCTCAAAACATGCCTAAGGCACCGAAGTCAGCGTTCACAAGATAGTCACGCTGACTGAATTGTTTCCGTTGTACCCGAATACGTTTTCGAACTTCGATACTATTAACGTGGTATTACCACTGAATAGCAGAAGCGATGATCGAACATCAACTCGAAGAGATTAGGTTTTAAAAGCATAGAGAAAAATTGATCCTAGCAACGCGTTGTAAACCCAAACTTTTGCAGTAGAGACGACATCATTAGAACTATAAAAGTGATCCGGATTTACCACTGACTTTCACTATATGTGAACTGATTTTATCTACTGTGCCACTACCAGCACTCACAATTACCTCTAGGTAAGCGGAATTTTTGAATTCTTTTAATTAATCATCAAAAACAATGAGTGCAAGTAGGGAAGCGCTTTACACTTGGAAGGCTCAAAGTATATACCATATCTGTAGACACTAATTGTCAATTAACTAGTTGAAGTTTAAATAGATTGTATAGCATTGCGTAATAGGGAAATACTATCGTCATACTTATAGTTTAAAAGTCTTCCCGGGAAACAGATCATCACGTACTTCCTTCAGAGCTATTTCCAAAATAATCTCCACATCAAAGTTGAGGAGTAATGATGAGATTGGTCAATCCTGTCCAAATATACTCTTGAAATGCAATAATGGAGAAAGATGGTTTTATGTACTCACTCTGCTTTAAATATGTGCGTACAGAGCCTTTAAGATGTTAATAAACACTTCAGGAATACACTTATTCAACAGACCATCCCAGATGATAATCTCCGACGGATCTAAGTCAGCCTTCATGTCAAGAATTAAAGTAATTATTGACCTATAATAATTACATCAGTGCTCTAATATTTGACAAGCTGTTAAGATCTGATCGATTCGTACACAATCTGACCATTAGAACTACTCTGATTCTCGTAAGTCATATAAAATCGTGACCCGACGTTTTACACTACTTAAAACCTATTATCAGTAGGTTGTACAAACTGGTTAAAATAAGTATACTTTCCTGATATATCTCAATGAGTAAATAAGTAATTGGCTTACATTAAGTCACAAAGTGTCAGAAATACAATTTCTTACCCCAAAAAAATATGTTCATTATTAACCTTCCACCTGCTATATGCAACATATCAAAGATTGTACTTAAAACATACTTCGACCAATATCAAAGTCACAATCATCAATACGAACATTAAGACAGTTAGGTCTATAGCACAGAGCTGAAACTTGGAAAACGATCACAACTAGCATCAACAGAGTAAAATTATTTATAAACAATTGTCTATGTAAGATACTGAATGTCTGTTGACCGCATACCATCAGCAACAATCTACTGCAATAGAGAATAAACCAACTTCCAGCCGAGAAAATTAGGAAAAGATACTGGAGATGGATAGGACATACATTGAGGAAATCACCAAACTACATGACGAGGCACGCCCTAACTTGAATTCTTAAAGAGAAGCAGAAAAGTGGAAGGCTGAAGAACACACAACGTCGGGAAATGGCAACAGATATGAGAAGGATGAATAGAAACTGGAAAGGATAGAGTTGGATGGAGAGTGCTGGTGGGCGGCCTATGTTCCTCCTCCGCGAAGAGTAACAGGTGTAAGTAAGTAATATCAAAGATTGTGTTGTATATAAATAAAGTTACTGGAGAATATACTTGATAGTTAAATCTTTTCCCAGGACGAAGTTCTATGTTGTGACTGACTGACTTTCCCAGGACAGGGTTGGATAGAGAATACTGGTGGGCGGCCTATGGTCCTACATGAGGGGTAACAGGCGTAAGTAAGTAAAATCTTTTCACATACACTCACTTAAAGCATTTCTAATATGAAGTAACCCTTGCAAGGGATATAAACCTTCATAACATATCTATATACTAAGATACTGAAATATTTGTAAACATCCTAGAAATAGAGAAGTAAATTTCTGGCTGTCACAAATAAAGTTACGACATTGTAAGTAAATACAATCAAATTAGACCAAGTTCTGGATAAATAAGATTACTTGTAGTGGTTGTAGTTTAGTAAATGGGAACATGAGTGGGGACAACGAAATGTATTTGAACCAAAAATTACAGAATCTCTTAGTAAAATCTGAGAACCATACAGTGAATACGTCATTTGAAAAATGTCAATCAATTGTCGCACACTTGATTGTTCCTTCGTTTCCATAACAATCATTCTCTGTTCGTGTTCTCCTCTCTTTAATCTTCACGACTTTCTGCCGCCAGACATTTCACTCTCAATTGGTGATACATACTACTTATAACTGTCGAAATTAATAGCACACACCACAATAGGATAGTGTGTGTACGAGTGAGCCAATACGAGATATAAAATAAGAACACAAGTATATCTATAACCTCGTAACAGTTTTAAAGGAGGTTATTAGCATTCTGAACCTGTTAAAAACATGAAACGAAACTGACAACTTAAACTGATTTGATATTACGACAGTTATCCTTAAATGCCCTGATACAGCCGAGAATGGAGAGGACCCGCCCCCTCTCTTTCGAAATACTCTCACACAGCCACGCGTTTACAGCTACTTACTACCATCTCGTGTCATTACTGTTGTTTACGAAATTGAGAGGAAGAAAAGCGAATGTCCAACGCTTTAACCGGATTGAGTGACACAGTGAGTTCACTCAGCGGAATTGGGAACCCCTAATTCCAAACCATTGGTGCACATGGGCTCCGTACTCTAAGTGATTTCTAAGCTTAATATTTCGAATCTACGATTTACACTTCACATTGAGGAAATCACTCAACTGAGTCACACGACAACCCCTCACATGGAATCCTCAAGGCCAAAGAAAAACAGGAAAACCAAAAAATACATTACACCAAGAAATGAAGACAGATATAAGAAGAATGAACAAAAATTGGATAGAACTAGAAAAAAAGACCCAGGACAGAGTGAGTTGGAGACTGCTGGTCGGCGGCCCTATGCTTCATTGGGAGTAACAGAAAGAGGTTAATTATGATTTGAATAGCTTAATGACAAAGTTTGACTATTTGAAATTGAATGATTTATGTTTGAATTTTACAGGGAACATAAATGCTTACAAGATTCAATGTATCGTTTTGATGATTGACTAGTTTTGACTATTAAATAAGCCTAGATCAAGGAAAGTTTTCTATCGACTACTTTCAACTATCTAAGATCAAGACAATTAAAAGGAGAAGCTTTGGAGGATGCAAAATCCTTTACATATCTGGGCGCCCCCAAATGCCCTGGTACGGCCGAGAGTGGGGAGAGTCAGCTATCCCTCTCGAAATGCTCTCACATGGCCAGCGAATATATTGCCTCTGCCAGGGAAGTCCTACTCACTGCCTTCTCGTGGCGGGGGTGTTGTTTACGAAAGTGAGAGGACGAAAAGCGAATGTCCGGCGCTATAACCGGATTGGTGGACACGGAGGGTCCACCTAGGGGAGTTGGAAAACCCTGATTCCAAACCAATGGTGCACATGGGCTCCAGTATCCTGATGGAACGAATGGCGGAAGAACCTGCTGTTGGTCAACGGCAACCATGGGACTGCATCTCCTCACGATGCTCCACTGCCTTGTGGATCAGACCTTTAGGTCAAAGGCTCGAGGTGTGGTCCCCTAAGAAAACCACCTGCTTCGGTTTGGGCACCCGGGCAGTATCACAGCCCACACACAAACAAATGAATGAAATTATGAACTCTATTGACGATATCCCTGGTCATACTAAAAGCAAGACAATTAACATTATTATTATTATTACCTTTATTATTATTATTATTATTATTATTATTATTACTTACCATATCGCTAATTCACCCCCTTTTATCCCCAATTTGTGTAACCTTACTCTTCAACTTATGCAGCAGCTCGCTCTTGGTGGAAAATCTGTCCTATCTAAACGATCTCCAGTCACTGTCTGGTTGAAAGTGAATGCTTCCACCGATTATGAATACTGAGGCAGTCTTTCTGAAACCACGTACGCCGTTCAAGCTGGCTTCCTTCAACGTTCGCACACTAATGCAGATCAGACAACAGATAGGGCTGGCTATGTCTTTGGAAGGTCTTAATGTTGACGTTTGTTGTCTATCCGAGACCCGTATTCAAGACTCTAGTGAAGTACTACAAATCCGCTCTCCATCTGTCGCCTCGAAAAGCTTGTTCCACGTGCGCTTATCCGGGGACCCTGTGGCATCTTCGTCTGGTCTTGCTGGCGTTGGTGTCGCACTAAGCGCTAGAGCTGAGGCAGCACTAATCGATTGGATCCCCATTAACAGTCGGTTATGTGCTGTTAGATTAGAAAGTTCCATCAAAGTGAGAAGAAATCGGCGTGAGAAACGGTGTCTTTTCGTCATCTCCGCCTATGCCCCGACAGATTGCAGCCCGGATGCAATCAAGGATGAGTTTTACCATCAGTTAACAGTTCTTCTCCAGAAAGCGCGTTCGACAGATATTGTAGTACTAGCCGGAGACTTGAATGCACAGGTCGGGCGTCTAGGAACAGAAGAGAGTCGTCTAGGTGGCCGATGGGGACTTGTTGGTCGCCGGACAGATAACGGGGACCGTTTGCTGCAACTGTGCACAGACCACAACCTGTTTCTGGCCAGCACTAACTTCCGGCACAGTCATCGCCGGTGTGCCACCTGGCGTCCTCCCTCTGCATCCCAAGCCTGGACTCAGATTGATCACATCGCGATCAGCTACCGCTGGCGTGGTTGTGTACAAGACTGCCGCTCCTTTTGGAGTACCTATCTGGAGTCTGATCATGCCCTGGTCTGCGCCAATCTCACCTTACTTTTCAGTGGCCGAAGGATTGACCACCACCAACGGATTGATATTAGTAAACTGGCTGCAACTTCTGTTGCAAGTAAGTATCGAGCTGAGCTAGCCTCTAGGCTAGCTACCACCCCACCGAAAAGTATAGACGAGCATTGGTTGCATCTTCACGACGCCATGAAAATGGCGAGTAAAGCCGCTTGCGGCTTCACAAAACGTCCTGCTTATAAACACTGGGTTTCTCCAGGCTCCTTACAACTCATCGAAGCCCGTCGGTCTACTCCGGGTGATCTTAAGTTTGACCACAAACGAAGGCTGTTACGTAATGAAATCGGGCAAAGCTTGCGTAAGGACAGAGAAGTTTGGTGGTCGGAGCGTGCTAATGAGATGGAAGCAGCAGCTGCATCTGGTAACTGCCGGAAGCTCTTTCAACTCATCCGAGCCACCGGCAGCAAGAAGTCTGGTGTGAGTGAAACAATCTACGAGGATGATGGGATGCCAATCACTAATATCTCTCGACGTCTTGGACGATGGGCGGAATTCTTCGAAGGGCAGTTCAACTGGCCTGCTGCTCCGGCAACATCAACCAGCTTGTCCTGCTCCCCATGGCCGGTGACGACTGATCCACCAAACGAGGCGGAAGTCCGCAAGGAACTCCAACTCTTGAAACGTTATAAATCACCTGGCCCAGATGACTTACCTCCGGCTCTTTTTAGAGATGGTGGTGACTTTCTGGCTAAGGAACTGACTGCGTTGTTTGGAAAGGTTTGGGAGCAAGAAAGTGTTCCAACATCTTGGAATGAGTCAATAGTCGTCCCTATCTTTAAAAAGGGTTCACGTTGTTCCTGCAATAACTACCGGGGGATAAGTCTACTTTCGATCGCGTCCAAATTATTGGCTTCTATCATTCTTCGTAGGTTGTTTAAAACCCGAGAACGATTGACTCGCGAGGAGCAGGCTGGTTTTCATTCTGGTCGAGGATGCATTGATCACATCTTCACCCTCCGCCAAATGTTAGAACACCGTCATACTTATCGCAGGCCAACAATCGTAGTGTTTCTTGATATCAGGGCGGCCTTCGATTCGTTGGACAGAACTGTGCTCTGGGATTGTCTATTGAAGAAGGGTGTGCCTGAAAAGTTCATTAACATCTAAAGGCCCTGTATACGAACACCTCAGGCAGAGTGAGGGCATACAACCACCTTTCTCCCTTGTTCCATTCGAGCAGTGGGGTTAGGCAGGGTTGCCCGATCTCACTATTCCTCTCCAACTTTGCCATCAATGACATTCTGGAAACAGCTCTGATAGACGTAAGTAATGACGGTGTGGATCTGTTGCCTGGAGAAGGACTTTGAGTATGCGGATGATATTGTCTTACTGTGCGACAATGCCCAAGCCATGTAATCTGCACTTAATCAGTTGGCAATCAGTGTCCGCAGGTACGACATGTGCTTTGCACCCTCCAAGTGCAAAGTACTCCTACAAGACTGGCAGGATTCTCATCCTGTACTCACCCTGGATGGTGAGGAGATCGAAGTAGTTGAGAAGTTCGTGTATCTAGGTAGCTATATAAGTGCTGGTGGTGGCGTGAGTGATGAGATTGATGCACGTATAATGAAAGCCAGAGCGGGCCTTCGTGATGTTAGTCTGGCTGTAAAAGGTCGGATCTACAACGCGTCGGTGAGAGCAGTTTTGCTCTATGCTTGTGAAACCTGGCCTCTCCGAGTTGAGGATGTTAGACGTCTCTCTGTGTTCGATCATCGTTGTCTCCGAAGGATTGCTGACATTCAGTGGCAACACCATGTTAGTAATACAGAGGTTCGGCATCGTGTGTTCGGGCGCAGAGACGATAATTCAATTGGTGTCACCATCTTGAAACACCGACTTCGGTGGCTTGGACATGTTTTACGAATGTCGTCCCAGAGACTTCCACGTCGCGCATTATTTGCCGACCCTGGGACTGGTTAGAAAAAGCGGAGAGGAGGTCAGTGTATGACGGTGTCGTGGCATTAAAGAAAGCTGCAAAGGGCTAGCTTCCGTTGGTCCTTCACGACTCCCTGGTTGGGGTCCGAGAGATAGTGCAACACAGTGGCTAGAGACGTTATCGGATATGGCTCAGAATAGAAGCCAGTGGCGATCCTGCTGCAACCTTCTTTTACTTTCTACATAAAGAATGGTTCTAACTTTCCTAACTGAAAGAATCTTCTGGTTGTACATTTCAGCCCGCCTTATCTTTTCATCCTTTATCTACCTACTTTCATTATTTTGTGTGGCGCATATGTAGCTGGTGCCCTTTTGTACCAATATATATGTGTTTAAATAAATAAATAAATAAATACATATCTGGGCAGCATCGTTGATAGAAACGGTGGATCTGATCCAGATGTGAAGACACGAATCTGCAAAGGAAAACCAGCATATTTACAACTGAAGAACATCTGGAACTCAAAACAATTGTAAGCCAACAGCAAAGTCAATATTTTCAATACAAATGTCAAGACAGTTCCACTGTATGTGATGGAAACCTGGAGAACTACGAAAGCCATTATCCAGAAGATACAGGTGTTTATTAACAGTTTTCTACGCAAAATACTTTGGCCAGACACTACTAGCAACAATCTACTGTGGAAAAGAACAAACCAAATTTCAGTGAAGGAAGAAATCAGGAAGAAGTGTTCGAAATGGATAAGACACACATTGAGGAAATCCCCCAACTGCGTCCCAAAACAAGCCCTCACATGAAATCCTGAAAGCCAAAGGAGAAGAAGAAGACCAAAGAACACATTACACCAAGAAATGAAGACAAACATGAAAAGAATGAATAAAAATTGGATAGAACTAGAAAAGAAAGACCTAGGACAGAGTGCAGTTAGAGAATGTTGGTCAGCAGCCCTATACTCCATTAGGAGTAACATATGTAAGTAAATAACGATTCAAAATTCTGAAGTGTCTAAACTTTATTGATTTCCCAAATATTAAGAATATCATTATAATATTATCTATTTATTTAATTAATATAAATTCTGTACAATAAGGGAAGTAATTTTCTAAAGAATAAAATATACTACTTACAAATTAATAATCAATTAATCTTTTCATTATTCACATAATAAATTGTGACATATACGATTCTTGATGTTTTAACCAATCAATAACACGTTGTTTTGATTTGATTATTTCCATAGGAGATTTCCATTTTTCTTTATGTGTAAGTCTTTTAATATAATGGAGATTATTTTTAGATTTCATAAATGGTGATATTATATTTCGAAAGTGGTTTCTGTCATCTGTAAAGGTAATATACAAAGATTTTATAATCATGGATAAAATATTGAAATTGTTCATAAATCAATTAAAGTTAAACTACTATTGAAAACCTAGAAACACTGGATGATTCACACGCAAGATTCCATAGCTCCTGGGTTCGAATCCTGAGTGGGGCGAGATTGTGGATGCACACTGTTGAGGAGTTCCACACTAGGATGACTGATTTATTTATTTAAACACATAAGTATTGGTACAAAGGAGCATCAGATATATATGTGCCTCACAAATCTTATTCGATTTGTGTGAGGGCTGTAATGATACTGCCCACGTGCCCAGACTGAAGCAGGTGGTTTTCTCAGGGAAACACGCCTGGGGTCTTTGACCCAAAGATCTGATCCACAAGGCAGTGGAGCATCGTGAGGAGATGCAGTCTCATGGTAGCCGGTGACCAACGATTGATTTATACGCCATTTGTTCCCTCAGGATACTGATGTCAGCCCATGTGCACCATTGGTTTAGAATCAGGGTTTTCCAACTCCCCTAGGTGGACTTTCCGTATCCACCAACCCGGTTAAAGCGTCGGACATTCGCTTTTCGTCCTCTCAATTTCGTAAACAACAGTAATGCCACGAGAAGGCGGTGAGTAGGATTTCGCTGTCAGAGGCTATATACGCGTGGCCATGTGAGAGCATTTGGAGAGGGATAGCTGATTCTCCCCACTCTCGGCTGTATCAGGGTATTTTGGGGCACACTAGGATGAAACAGTCATCCAGTGCTTCCAGGTTTTCAATGGTGGTCTAGCTTTAATTGGCTCATGAATTCAACTATTTAAAATTACTAAAATCTCCACAAAACTCCTTTCTGGTTGAAATTGTTACTAATAAAAAGTAAGTAGTATAAAATATTTTCCCGTAATTTTAGCATATCTTGACTAAATATGAAATAAGTTTATAGTGGCTTAGCTTCGTCAGTCAACCACCTAGAAAACCGTTACTACACAAAGCCTGACGGTTTTGAAATCAGAAGGCAATAAGAAACGGTGACCACTGTTTATCAGTGGATAGCACAGATAATAAAGCTACAAGTACATCGAGTGAGTTTCGAGCAGGGAGACGAATATGTGCGAGCGACCGAGCGAATATAGAGGTAAATTTATAGTCAAATTGAATAAGGGTACAGCAAGACAAGAAAAGGGCTATTAGTAGGATTCGAGTACATATATACATGGGGAAGAGAATGATTCGTCGAGCGATATTTAAGCGATTGACATTTTAGCTAGAGATACGTGGATAAGCTGTCACATGTGATCAAGTGTACACGTTTATACAGACAGAATAGTGATCATAATAGTGCGAAGAAATCTTTGCTTATAATGCCTGTGAATTAAGACAATATCCAGGCAATACACACAGTATGCCCATATGCCAATAAGAGACAGATCATAAACATCAATGAGAAGATTCAAGTAACAATATCAAATGAATAAGACGAATTTTTAGTGTCCGGATAACTTTGTCAGTCAAGTAAGTTAGTAAAAGAGCTTAACAAAACGGTAGTGAAATAATAATAGTAATGGGAGGAAGAGAAAGATACAGCCAGAAAGAATTCTTTCAGTTGAAAAAGTTACGGCCACTTTTTATGAGAAAAGTAAAAGAAGGTTACAGCAGGATCGCCACTGGTTTCTATTCTGAGCCATATCTGATAACGTCTCTATCTACCGTGTTGCACCATCTCTCGGACCTCAACCAGAGGGTCGTGAAGGACCAACAGAAGCCAGTTCTGTGCAGCTTTCTTTCATACCATGACACCATGTCATACACTGACCACCTCTCCGCTTTTTTTAACCAGCCCGTGTCGGCAAAGAATGAACGACGTGGAATTCTTCAGGAAGACGTTGGTAGAACATGTCCAAGCCACCGAAGTCGGTGTTTCAAAATGATGACACCAATTGAATTATCGTCTCTGCGCCCGAACACACGATGCCGAACCTCTGTATTACTAACATGGTGTTGCCACTGAATGTCAGCAATCCTTCGGAGACAACGATTATCAAACATAAAGAGTCGTCTAACATCCTCAACTCGGAGAGGCCAGGTTTCACAAGCATAGAGCAAAACTGCTCTCACTGACGCGTTGCAGATCTAACCTTTTGCAGTCAGACTAACATCACGAAGGCCCCAAAGATGGCCGAGAATGGCATAAGCCGCTCTGGCTTTCATTATACGTGCATCAATCTCATCACTCACGCCACCACCAGCACTTATATAGCTACCTAGATACACGAACTTCTCAACTACTTCAATCTGTTCACCATCCAGGGTGAGTACAGGATGAGAATCCTGCCAGTCTTGTAGGAGTACTTTGCACTTGGAGGGTGCAAAGCACATGTCGTACCTGCGGACACTGATTGCCAACTGATTAAGTGCGGATTACATGGCTTGACCATTATCGCACAGTAAGACAATATCATCCGCATACTCAAAGTCTTTCTCCAGGCAACAGATCCACACCGTCATTACTTACGTCTATCAGAGCTGTTTCCAGAATGTCATTGATGGCAAAGTTGGAGAGGAATAGTGAGATTGGGCAACCCTGCCTAACCCCACAACTTGAATGGAACAATGGAGAAAATTGGTTGTATGCCCTCATTCTGCCTGAGATTCTTGTATATAGGACCTTTAAAATGTTAATAAACTTTTCAGGCACACCCTTCTTCAATAGACAATCCCAGAGCACAGTTCTGTCCAACGAATCGAAGGCAGCCCTGATATCAAGAAACACTACGATTGTTGGCCTGTGATAATTATAACGGTGTTCTAACATTTGGCGGAGGGTGAAGATATGATCAATGCATCCTCGACCAGAATGAAAACCAGCCTGTTCCCCGCGAGTCAATCTTTCTCGGGTTTTAAACAACCTACAAAGTATGAGAGAAACCAATAGTTGGACGCAATCGGAAGTTGACTTATCCCCCGATAGTTGTTACAGGAACGACGTGAACCCTTTTTAAAGACAGGGACAACTATCGACTAGCTCCATGACGTTGAAACACTCTCTAGCTACCAAACATCTGTAAACAATGTAGTCAGTTCCTTAACCAGAAAGTCACACCATCTCTAAAAAGAGCCGGAGGTAGGTCATCTGGACCCGGTGATTTGTAACGTTTCAAAATTTGGAGTTTCTTGTGGACTTCCACCTCATTTGGTGGATCAGTCGCCACTGGCCATGGAGGGCAGGACAATCTGATCGATGTTGTCAGAGCAGCAGGTCAGTTGAACTGCCCTTTAAAGAATTCTGCCCATCGTCCAAGACGTCGATGAATGTTAGTGATCGGCATCCTGTCGTCCTCACAGATTGTTTCACTAACACCAGACTTTTTGCTGCCAGTGAGTTGTAAGAGCTTCCGAGAGTTACCAGATGTAACTGCTGTTTCCAACTCATTGGCACGCCCCGACCACCAAACTTCTCGGTCCTTACGCAAACTTCCCCCAATTTCATTTCGTAACAGTCTTCGCTTGTGGTCAAACTTAAGATCACCCGGAGTAGACCGACGGGCTTCGATGAGTTGTAAAGAGCCTGGAGAAACCCAGTGTTTATAAACGGGACGTTTTGTGAAGCCGCAAGCGACTTTACTCGCCATTGTCATGGTGTCATGCGGTTCCAACCAATGTTCATCTAGACTTTTCGGTGGGATGGTAGCTAGCCTAGAAGCTAGCTCGGTTTGATACTGAGTTGCAATAGAAGCTGCAATCAACTTACTACTAAAAAGTTTACCTGGAGTAGGACTGACTCTACCGCTGCTACTGCTACTGCTAGTATGTAAGTTTGACCCATTAATTTGACGAAACCTTCGCTTTTCCCAAGAAGATACTGATTTCTCCAATGCTATAAATAACAAGACATTTGTAAGATATTTCGTACTTACAAGATAAGGCAGCTTTTATACCATTGAAATCCTACAATCAAAACTTTTATTTGAAAACTTAAAGTAAATCTTACCATTTTGGAATTTTCATTAAATAATGGACTTTCAACTTCTCGTTTCTCTGCCTCTTCTTCTTCTTCCTTTTCTGTATCACTGCATGTGCCAATAATAGTAGTATTTGTAGAAGACCCTGTAGTACAAATTAACTCATCGAATGTATTTGGACTCAATACCTGTTTTAGTAATAGATGGTTGGACATTCTCAACATCACAACAATTTTCATCATCTGATAATATACTATCTGGTAATGACGACAGGAAATCTATAGGCAACATTCAAGTCTTATAAGAAATATTTATCTACCCCCTGTTTTAGTGACTGAAAACTCTGTTAAATCGACTATGTCACAATCACGGAATTCATAATTATACTAAAATTATATGAACAGTAACTAGTGAGTTATAATGAAAGATACTACCTTTTCTGCTATGTTGTTCAGCTTTATTATGAATGAGGGATCCATAATAGTTATTGTACGATTCTTACCGTAATAAACTTGTTGAAAAAAAATAAACATTATATGAGTGTGAAGCATGAAAAAAAGCAGGATAAAAACTAATCAGATCAACTTCGTGTTTATTAACCCCAATGCTGATCGACTATAAGTGAGGTTGATGTCTCAATCTTTGATTTTAGACAGGCGGCCCTGGGTTTGAAGCCTTTCTCATTAGGTCTAGGCAGCATCTCTAATCAATACGAGATATAAGAGTCGGTCCCCAAGTAATTACTAGATTACGTTACACATTTCATGCCTGTCATCTCTAACCAAGCCACTTGGAAATTATATGAAGCTTACTATAAGGATTTTTTGCTTTAGATAAAGATTACAACTAAGTGGCTTTTTGAAAGCTGTATCAGCAATTCGTTGCTTAGAAAAGTAGCTTCAACCCAACCACCATTACAAGAGGAATGTGATATGCACACATACTGATACCCTAAATTTAGTCAGTACATTAAAGTTACGCAGCTACACAACGAAAAAATTCCAATAACAGTCGAATATTAAGGCTAATTAAGTTATTTAGCTCTACAACTAGACTATTGATAATCGCAAACTACAAAATCTTTTATGATTGAATTGACTTTTCAATATTCTTTGAATTCACATTATTATTTGAGAAAGAAGTCTGACTTCACCAGTCGACGGTCAAACCTGTCCTTAGAAATAACAGGAATCATTTTTATTTGACTGTATTTGGCCGATAAAAAGATTCGCGATAAAACTTCTCAATTGGAAATAGTGGGTGGTGGGAAGTCGACCGATTTCAAACTAGTGTCTAACGCTCTCCAAAAATTTACTATTTGGGTTTTGTTACATGTTGATATGAAGATGTCAGCTACTTTTGCGGTAGGACTTTCAGTAGTAGGCATAATTGGTCTCTTAGGATAGAATTCATGATTTTGTGGACAAAAAATGCAACCGCACTATTATAGCAACCGGCAACAAACAGCCTGGTCAGTAAGCTACAACGTAGGACCAGGCACACACATGCCTGGAATATACTTTGAAGCAACATGTGAGTCCCCACATTTCAGTTCGTGCTGGATGACAGGAACTGAAATTCATTTACGAGGATTTCAAAACGACAAGCGGGAACTGCCAATCTACAATCACCTGGAGTATTTCCAATACTTCTTAGTGGGTGGAAGTGAAACAATCGATCCCTGTTGGGAATAACTATAAGATGTTTATTATTACTAAATATAAGTCTAGGAAAAATACCGATCGATAGAAACATTGCAAAAATAAAGGGTCTGTTTTAACTGTACTGCAGACGATCTGAACGATAAGAAATACGTTTTGAGGGAAGATATTGGTGACGTTACGAATATAGTATCTTGCCCATGTTGATATCCTTAATGTAAAACCGATTTTATGTTAAAATCATAAATTTCCGAAGTCCTTATACCAACTGAATTATTCTTTATTGGAAAACGAGGCAAAACGAGCACAAGTACTTTGATGCAACTCAAACTCCATAGCGTAGATTGTTACATCCGATAACTCCAGGTAAGTTTTAGGGAATGTCAACCAGTTAGTGCCAGAAATGTTTATACTGAGTATTGAGCTCAAACTCTAAAGATTTGTAATGTGCAGAAATGTCATATGGCTACAGTCGACGATAAAATATACATATTAGTGATCCCAAAAATATCCAATCGGGAAATGGGAAAACAGATATTTACTAAATAGTGTCCACCGAGTTTGAAACACTATTTAAGATCACATCGTGATCTTATATGAACACCCTGTATTCATGAAAACATTATTCCGACAGATAACTAAAATATGTTGGCAACAAAATACAGGAAATCGAGTTACATCGAGGATAAAGCCATCCACCAATTCAATGACAAGAAATAACATTGAGTCGAAGAACTTAACTGTAGGGTTTTTGGGGGCTTAATCAAGAAAATAATCAGGAACAAGATCTTACGAAAACTTCAAATAACAGTCCTAACAATACCTTCAACGCCAAGGTCAAAGTTGACTAGTGCGCTAAAACAGAGAGTAGCTCACACCGAATGCGGTTAAACAGTAGCCTAGCTACATATGTGTTTATACCTACAAATGCATCAAGTTATAGGATTTATTCGGAATATTAGAGAACGTGATTAAGCATCAGTTTTAATGAATTTCTTTAGTATAATTTATGAAATACCAATCGACTGTCTGCCGAAGGATTTAAAGTTTCTTTTCTGTATCAGGAATGTGAAAGTAGTCTTTCAAGGGTGTAACTCAATAAAAAGTTCTCTTAATACATATACAGACCCATTCGGATTATCCAGTAGCCTCTCCAGAAATTCAGCACTCTACTGAGGTCATCTGATTACAGTTTTCAAATTACTTAGTGGTAAATTTCAGTTTCAGTTTCAGTTTCAGTTTGGAAAGGACAGGAGGCTTGATGGCCTGTGTTAGTCCTGGCAATGATGGTCTCTCAGCTGACCCAACTTTCTTTTGAAGAAGTCGACGGATGGAGCCTCAACCACGTGCTGAGGTAATGAATTCCACTCGTTGAATATTCGATGGGAAAGTCGGTAGTCAGCTGACAAGTAAATCGTTCTGGGCTTGTGAACTTTTTTGGAGTGTTCTCGTAGATTTTCTGTTTTGGAAGACAAGAAAAATGAGGGCATATCAGGTGCAAATTTGTCATTTAGCAATTTGAAAACTATAATCAAGTCACCTCTGATTCTTCTATATGACAGCGGGAATAGGTTTAGCTTGGTCAGTGTAGTACCAAACGGGAGCTTCGCTATTCTGGGAATCAGACTAGTTGCTGTTCTCTGAACCCTTTCCAAGAGTTCACTGTCTTTTTTTAGGCAGGGGTTAGCTGCTTGTATACAGTACTCAAGTTTAGGGCGTACGAACACTGTATACAAAGTCAGAAACGTTTTAGCGTCAAGATGCCTAAAAGCCCTGCGTATGGACCATAAAGTCCTAAAACCTTTGGCGGCTATTGCACGGCAGTGTGCAGTAGTCTTTAAGTCTTGACTGACGATGACGCCTAAGTCGTTGTGTGCCTGAACAATAGGTAACTCAGTGTTATTCATCGTGTATGTATCTGTACCCTGATGGCCAATATGCATCACAATACACTTGGAAGTGTTTATCGGCAATTGCCAGGTTTGGGACCATTCAGATAATCTCTCCAGGTCATTTTGAAGTTCTAAGCTATCGCCCTTGCTTTGTATCGCTCTCCATATCTTGACATCATCAGCATAGAGTAAGACCGATGACGATAGTAGACGAGGGAGATCATTTATGTACAGGAGGAATAACACTGGCCCCAAAACTGTACCCTGGGGGACTCCACTAAGCACAGTTTCCCAGCTAGACAACTTGGAGTTCACCCTTACTCTTTGTTGACGCCCAACTAGGAAGTCTTTTATCCACATCAATAGATTGCCTCTAATCCCGACATTCCTTAGCTTATATAACAGCCGGTTATGCGGAACTTTGTCGAAAGCTTTGCTGAAATCGATGTAAGCTACGTCTATAGGTAATTTTCGGTCCTTAAGAGCGCACCAGCTTTCACGAGCGACTAATAAGTTTGTGAGACAAGAGTAACCTGTTCTAAAACCATGCTGCTTTTCGGAGAGGATCCGGTTTTCATCGAGATACTTTAACAGTTCCTTCCGAATAATCTTTTCTAAGATTTTAACAACCACACTAGTTAGGCTAATTGGTCGGTAATTCTCAGGCTTATGTTTTGTACCTGTTTTGAAGACTGGACTTACTATGGCGTTCTTCCAGTCTTTTGGTAAACGATCCTGGGTTACGGATAGATTAAAACATACACTTAAAGGGTTCGCAACAAAGTTAGCTAATTCCTTTAGTAACCTAGGATGCAGTTCATCGGGTCCAGTGGATTTACCTATGTCAAGCATAACTAGCAGACCAAAAACATCGAGTTCTTTAATGGTTACACTGTCCAGTGCTTGTGTGGGTGGATTTTCATGGACTGGTGAGAAGGGTGTTTCTATGGTGTATACATTGCTAAAGTATTTAGAGAATACTTGAGCTTTGCCAAAGTCATCCTCCACTAGTGATGTGGCAGTACTGTCTCCCCATAATGAAGGAACATTTCTTCTTCTTTTTATCCTTTGGTTTATATACGAATACAAGCGTTTAGGGCATTCTATGGATTCCCTAACGATTTTCTCTTGGTACAGCTTTCTGGCCTTACGGAGGGTCGAGGCACAGGTATTTCGAGCCTTTTGATACTGAGATTTCGCCTCGTCAGTCCCCAGTAACCTAAATCTGTCCCACATTTTCCTTCTTTTACGGAGAAGGATGCGAACCTCCCTACTGAACCACGGTGGGGAGTTTCTCGGTCTCTTAGGTGTAGTCCAAGGGATGTGGGGGTGGTAACTTTTAAGTATAAATTCCGGAATACGTCCCAAGCCGTTTCGATTGATGACTCTGGGTCTATTTTCCAATCTACTGATGATGCTGATTTCATGATGTCCGATATGTTTGCTTTCCAGACGTTAGGTCTGGATTGAGCTGAAGCGTACTCGTGATCGACAGTTATATGGAAGTCAAAGCTTAAAACTGCATGATCACTTTTGCCTAGGGGTGGCATGTAATCCAGGTTTGCAACATCATCCTCATAATGAGTCAATATAAGATCTAGTAAGGATGATGCAGAACCCGGGTCGTACGTAGTTGCTTCCTTCACGTGTCACACTAGAGCACATGTGATTATCGCATCAACTAGTTCCTGTTCGAAGGAGTTTGCTGACGATTCAGTCCGCAGATTTCCCCAGTCCACCATGGGTGCATTGAAGTCCCCTAGGATTAGACATCGATCACTTCGTGATAAAGTGTTGAGACTGCTTAGCAGGACCTCGTTTGCCTCACAGCTTGGACTGCGATAGATCAAACTAAGTAGTAACTCTTGTCCCCTGCATTTCAGGCGGCAGCAAACTAATTCATACGTCCCACTCTCATGGGATACACTGTCGATAATGGTGAATGGAATAGCATTCCTAATGAATAGAGCTACTCCCCCTCCTTTATGCGTTTGTGTTCTATCGGCCCTTACTAATGTAAAACCCTCGAAATCAAGTTCCGGTAGCTTATTTAGTAAGCTCCCGGCGTTGGTATAACAGATCCGAAGCCTATTTATGTGGCCTCGTGCTTCACCCAGAGTGGCTTCGGCATCATCCTCTGTCGAAGCCTCACAACCCGAAAATTTACAATTTTCAGGTCTTTTTCGCCAGCGTCTAATCTGAGCTGTAGTTCCTTTTCGGCTTCCCGTCTTTTAACACGGTCCGCCAACGGTAAGTCCTTACGGAGAAAAACTCCTGAACCCTTTAATTTGTGTCCATTTTCTAAGATTAAGTCGCGTTCGTTTGAGGATTTGAAAACGATTTTGAGTAGTCTAGACTGATTTTGTTTCAGATGCGCTAGATTTCCTAGTCTATACACCTTTAGCAAGGTGACTCCGGGGATGTTTTTGAGCATAACTTGGTTGAGTAGTTGTTTTATCAACACAATGTCATGCTCAAAACGAGCTTTCGGTTCTAAGTTGTCACTCTCCTTGACTCTATGGAGAATGACTGATCTGTCGCTGTGATCAGACCTCGGCTTGTCGACCCTTTTGGTGGGGGTATGATTTCCTTTTACGTCATTTTGGTGTTTTTTTCTTACGACCCGTACCCAATCGCCAACGTTCTTTGGAGTGGTAACCACATTCGCGTCAGGCGTACTGTGGGATTCTGGAAGAATCAGGACGACTTGGGAGATCGGGTCATCTTTCGCGCTGGAAACCGATCGAGCCTTGCGGTTTCGGCTTCCTGAAGTTCCCTTCTGGGTACCATTTTTGATACGAGGGACAGAAGAGACTTTTTTGCGCGAGTTTCTGGTTGTAACAGTCCTCTTTGGAGGATGTTCTTCCTCCTTAGTAGGGTGTGGGTCGGCAGTTTTTGGACTCACTTGGGCCTGCCTTGTGTCAATCTGCGTGTCGACAGATTGAGTTCTGACTGATGTATCCCGACCGCGCTTGCCGAGACACTTTTTTGCGGCATTTACTATTGAAATGGCCTCGGTTAGCAGGCTATTTGCATCCAAACAGCACTGTTGACATAGCCATACGCATCCATTTTTACTAAACCGCTTGAAAGCTGCAGGTGTTAGATTCGTGCAAACATCGTGGTACCAACATTTGCACTCATCGCAGTGCATGCCGCTATCAACAGGATATCGACATCCTGGGCGGTGGCAAGTGCTTTTGTTGCATCTTCCAGTCATTTTAGGATGCGAAAGTGAGTGTTGACTATAAGTAGAAAAAAAAACTATAAACAGTTAGGACCAAAGTACTAACAGACACAATGGAAAAAAAGGTACTCTGGAGTACCGACGATAAAACTATTTAGGATACCAAAGATGATACTCTAATAGAATACTTTAACTGAAAGAAATTCAATCAAAGTATAAAAACAGTAGTCTTGATGCGTTAATAACGATCAAAACAATAGAATTTACTCAACGAGGAAAAATACCACTGTCCTTTTTAAATAGTGCGCAAAAAAAAGACATGATATGCCCTCATTTTTCTTATCTTCCAAAACAGAAAATTTACAAGGACACTCCAAAAAAGTTCGAAAGCCCGGAGCAAGTTACTTGCCAGCTGACTATCGACTTTCCCATCGAATCATCAACGAGTGGAAGTCATTACCTCAGCACGCGGTTGAGGCTCCATCCGTCTAATCTTTCAAAAGAAAGTTGGATCAGCTGAGAGACTATCATTGCCAGGACACACAAAGGCCATCAAGCCTCTTGTCCTTTCCAAAATGAAACTACCGATATGTCTTTTATTAACTGACCAAATAAGATGAGATAGTTCTTACTTTCTTAAAGACGTGGTTCATGATATTATTATAAAATATCAATCAGCACCAAAGGTAGAGAAGACTTAAAAGTACATGAAGTGGTCTGCAAATGAATCTAAAATAGGAGTTGATTCTTTCTTTTCAGGAATCGGCTGAAGGTTC